ATTTGCATCATTGAGTTGGAGAACCTTTGCCAAGAATACATCTTTATACCACCGAAAATGAGTTAAAGATGGACATCTTAAATTCTGAAGAAGTTCACGACTCCGTTCACTATTAGCTCCTTCTGGGCCAACAAAATGTTGGATAATAGTGGTGATGAGTGTGTAAACCGCATCTGGAGCAGGTCCTGGTTGTTGAGTAGCTTCATCTTTAACTATCTTGGTAGCAGAAAAGATTTCAGCTTTCTGAATGTCAGTGAGAACATTATCCCATCATCCTTTAAGGATTCCTGTAAAACCAGCAACGACAAATTTAGCAATGGTTGGGTCAGTGTTGTGGTTTAATTTACAAACTTGGCTATACATCAACATTTGATGAATAACCTCGTAAATCTGATAATCAGATTTCCCATCTATGTTCCATTCATAAATGGTCTTACCACGAAAAGATTTCTGTGTATGAAAATAATCTTCTTCATACAAGATATCTTGAGGTGTGGGTCTGGGATAATAATATCTACTCGGAGCAAGTGCTGTATTGGAGTGAATATTCTTATCATAGACGATTCTGTTTAACTCAGGCATCTGAATAAAATCAGTTTAAAAATCCTCAATATGAGGTAACACATCAGAATTAGAACCTATTTCAGATTCATCATGGGATAAAGTCTGAATTTTAAGTCCTCTAATGCTACTAAAAAGGACATTTCTCATGTTTATAGGCAGAACAATTATACTAATGTCTGTATGCAAACGATAGGATCCCAGCTTGGGAGAATTGAAACAGGAATAGACACAGTATTAAATACAATTAATACTAAGTGTATTACTGATAAGCCTTCTCCTCCAAAAGCTTCCTTATCTAAAGCATTGGTCACATATAATTAATAGACATATCAAATTATTTTAATTTGGTTAAGTGATCTGAAAATACTTTTATATATTTTTTTTAAAAAGAATTAAAAATTTGAAAACTGTAATAATAATAATAATAATAATAATAATAATCAATTAGTTGACTGTTTTTTAAAATTATTTTTTAAAAACTCAGATAAAAAATATTTTTTCTTCATAATTGCTTTTATAATTATGTAAAATAATTTCTTTTTAAAAAATCGAGTCAAACAAGTCTTCAATCTTTTGAGAGTGTTTTTATTAGAATCCTGTTATTTCTGACGCGTTATCTAGGTTGGATATAATAGGTATTATCGATATAAGAGGGGGAGCCGAAAAAAACCACACGCAACGGTATATCCTACGTCACTTGGGCTATTATTTGCAATGCCAAAGGTTGCTTTAGAATACCTTTCAAAAAAAAAAAAATGGAGGATTAGATTTATCAAGGTATTCTCCAATCTTCCATGATTTTTTTTTTTTTTTTTTTTTTTTTTGATAACTCGAGGTATTCGAGACTTTGTCCCGACTAATTCCCGAGAACTCCAGGAATGGCGCCTCCCCATCCCAGGTCGAGTAAGTCGCCGAGTATAGCAGTGGAGACGAAACCGCAAATTATCGTAAGTTCTTAGTGGGAAGCGAACCCCAGACCTCGGTCCTAGTAAGCATCTAAGCCCAAGTAATTTTACCACTAGGCCAACCTTTGGAATTTTCAATCTTCCATGATGACTCATAAAGTTTTGTATTATTATTGTAGATAACAAACATATGTATTATTTTTTTGTTACTCAGTAAAAAATTCATACACATTCATTTTGTTCTTTTAAAAATTCGAACCCTCACCATCTACTTTGTAAGAGTAGATATACTCAAATCCTTTAACATTCAAAAGCTATTATGAAGGCCCCATTATGTGATAGAGCGGTTAAATGATCAATTTGACATCCATATTACATTAGTACTACGTATTGATTCATATGTGTATTTTCAAAATGATGAGCATGCCCTTATTTTACATTAAACGAAGTCGTATCAAATTATACGAGCTGTTGAGTCATATCAAGTATCTGGTACTGAAATTACAAATTGATCTTTTAAACTGAATACCATCATGAAATTTAATAGAGCAGTGCCATGACGGTCAGGTTTTATATGAAATAAAATTTTCTAATTTTAGAGGTCCCATCGTCACTATCATTATAGGGGAGATGATACGCATCACAAATTTATTTTGTAATCTGTGTCACGAACGAAAGACAGTACTTTAAATTAGGGGTGACAAATTACGACACGATTTTTTAATACAACACAAGATAAACAAGTTCGGATTATAAACAAATTGACATGATTAACTCATTTACTTAACCGTGTCAAGTTAGGGTTGAGGAGATTCAATCCATGTAACCCATTTAACTCAATATGTCATAATCGTAAATATGACCTATGTAATATGTTACCTGTTTTATCCTAATTATTATGATTATGGACAGTTAAAGAATACCTTTCTATCAACACGATACGATTATAACCCACGAACATGAATTGCCACCCCTACTTCAAACCCTACCTCTCACACCTTAAACATCACCAAAAAGAATTGGTGATCTATATCATTATCTATATTTTCCAAATTTGGTGGACCCACAAATATTTTCTATATTTTCCAATTTTAGTGGACTCCACAAATACTATCTCACAGTTGGCTGTCCCATGGTCTTGAAATTTTCAATTTAATATGTATGGTCGAAACTTTAAGCCACACAATTCTTCTAAATGAGTATCACTCTCACGTTTTTGTTGCTATTGTTCTCACGCTTCGTGCACGGTCTCGCTCCTGAACCTGTTTCTATTGTGTGTGACTTAAATTTTGTTATTTTCACAATTCGGTTTCCGCACCCATTTTATGTGACTTAGGTCCAAACTCAGTGCTACAGTGTTACAAATTTCATGTAAATATCCCTTGAATATATGTATATACCTATATATCATTTGAAAGGGTTCATCTGAATTTGGACAAAAAGTTGATTGTGCCCTTAAAAAAAAAAAAAGCTCCATAAATGGAGCAGTTTGCGATGGGGAGTGGATCTGATGCATCTGAGCACTGCGCCGAAGTCCGACATCTCAGGTGCTTGCGAAGTTGTGCTCGGTTCTTTGATGGGTCGGTTCCAACGGTCAGTCTGTAGTTTTTCAGTTGGTGAAACCTTGATGTCATGACTGACGTTTAGGCATGATATTTTCGATTTTCTTTTTTCGTTAATGGTGGATCCGGTCTTTGACTATGCTGAGCATTTGTGTAAGACGGTGCAGATACATATCTTTAGCGGTTTGATTTGCTAGCTTTACTTGTGGGGACTACTGCTCCCACTCTCACTGGCACCTTCTTGGTGCACTGACATCTTTTCGATTGTTGTCAAGATTGTGATCTTGATATTAGTGAGTGTTGGTTTTGTTTTGGATAGTTTAGTGATCTTGACCTACCACCGTACACACACATACATTTATTAATCGATTTAAGCTTTGGTCACTATTGTGTCCCGTAATAATTCAGATAATAACTTTAGTGGTTCTATGCTTTTGAAGCCTTTAATTGGGCTAGTCCCCTTTTCTTTTCTTTTTTTGTTAAAATTTCACACAATTTTGTCCCACATTTGAGACTTAATCCACTCACTTTTTTTATTTATTGAAACCAGAAGAGATTATACTACCTAAGTCAATAACATGAGGTACAAGAGGTTTATTTTGCTTGAATAAAATGTTTTACATAGAAAAGAAAAGTTATTATTATTATTATTATTATTTTCTTAAATCCCTTACTTTTATATATATACATTTTGACACTGGTCCTTTCTAGAAATTTTAATTTTTGACATCAGTCCCAATTGATCACTAACTTTTGTTAATAGAAATATATACACTAACTAAAGAACAAAATTGTCAACACAATCCCAGTTACATATAAAAAGGACTTGTAAACTTTATAAAAAGGACTTGTAACTTTTGTTAATAGAAATATATTCTTTATTGGTTTTTCACAGATTTCGCTATCAAGAAATGTATCCACGGCTTCTCAATTTCTTTCTACGACTAATGTAGCATTTACCGATCGAGCGAGTCTTGAATTTAGATTAGATTGTTTAATAGAAAGTCTAAAGAAATTGGTAGGTGTGGAAGGAGCAGAAAATGCTTTATAGAATATAACATCATGTTCAGTCATTGAATCAAATATTATATTAGATGGATAATTGGTTTTTATAGAAAAATATGAAGAAAAAAAAAAAAAAAAGAAATAATTTCTTTCCCAAGTTTAGCAAAGCAACTCCCTATTTAGCAGACCAAAAAGAGAGTAGGGCTCATGTGGTCTTTATACAAATTTGGGATGAAAAGAGAGTGGGGCTCTTATGGTGTTATCTCTTAGGCCCTCTTACATATCGATAAAAAGTATTTTAATATATTTAATAAAAAAACGGGGTATTATGGTAATTTTGCAAAATAACGGATTGTTTGATGTGAAAACCTATTACTATTACTTTTTCATTATGGTACAATATTTCAATGAGTTGACTGGGGACGAAAAAAAAAAATTTACAGAATTGCATAACTAACATGTAGAGTTAACTTTTGTAAAATAAAAAAAAATAAATAAATAATAAAAAGAAGCACATGTAAAGACTTGATTTCATTTGATCTTGTGCACCCTAGAGTTATGGTAAGAGAGTGCCAAAAGGCCCTTAGTTTCTATCGGAATTTGGGAGTGAAAAAATTAACCAAAGAAATCAATGGACATTCAAGATTGAGTTCATAATGTGAATTTCATGGGAAGATATTCATTGGTAATCTCCTTAGTGATCACATGCATTATTTAATTATAAGGCTTAAAAATTTTAAGCCATCACAACCATCAATCAAATAACATAAAAGAGACAAATACACTTTATTCATACTTATAAAGCAGATGAAAAATAGGCCTAGAATAGTTGTTCCTTATCCTTAGGCCACTCCCAAACGAATCAAAAGCCTTAATTTCCGGTATCGATTTCCTCTGTTGTCTGCGATTCGTGAATTTCAATTATAAAAATGTAGTGAAATTTTATAGTTGTGAAATTCACCACTAATAGTAACAATATGAAATTGTTATTAGAAAAGATCCGAATCCATCTCAAACACCACAAAATGCCTTTAAGCCGGATACATGAGCTTTCTGTCCTTTTTCTGTTGTGAAGAACTTAACATATTCTATATATTCATAAGGCTTGAAGAGTAATGGGTGTTTTTCATCTACTAGTTCGTCCGGAGCTTTTACAAGGTGGCCTTCTTTTGGGCTTGAAAATAACCCTACTGAGTATCTCGTTTCATTTTTAGTCATCACAACTCGATGAACTGGAGCCTGCAAACCCCCATTCGTCCATGCCTACATATTGACAAAACTCTTAAGTTCTAAAAAATGTCAGGATGTTATTGTGCGGTAAATGAATATTGTAATTTATTCCTAGCATGTCATTTGATTTTTGTGTCACAATAAACACGTACATGAATGATTGTAGAACCTAAAAGAGCCGGGCATGTTCCACTGCGATTTCAGTTTTCTAACAATACAATACTTGTAAATAACTTAAGATTTCATTTTGCTAATATATGTCGAGAATTGTTTTCAAAAAACACCCATATTTGAATTTTTTTATTTTTTTATTTTTTTTGGCCTTGTCAATTACTTGTTTCTTTTCTCCGTCTTCCCATATTAAAAAAAAAAAAGAAAGTAAAGAAAAGAAAAAAAAAAAAAAAAGAAAGAAAGGAGGAGAGCAAGTAAAGAAACTAACATGGAAAGAATCTCCGGGCAAGATGATGAAAGAGTCCGGCGATGATGTTTTCACATTGATCCACTTCCCGTCTTTGCTTTGCACCTCTAACCCACCTACCTGATTAATTTCATACAATATTGTCATAAGGTTCTTATCTGTGTGGGGTTTTAGCATAAGCTGCTTGCTCTCTATAATTTCGGGATCTTCATACTTCATGAGTCGAAGAGTGTATCGGCTTGAATCTATGTGTTCATCACAGTATTTCTCAACACCAAAGCTCTCCAAAACCATCCTCCTAATCGTCTGATCCAATTCAGACAGTTGCTCTGAGAAGGACCATAATGTTTTGCTGCCAAAGTAACAGTATGTGCTCAAATAACACTTAGATTTCGATTTCAACCTAGTTTTCTAACACAATTTCTCAACATAAGCGAAAACAAAAACTAATTAAATTTACGTACCCAAAGGTAGGGTCTCCTTCTGGCCACAAGAGATTAGTGAAGCTTGTGACATATTCGGGAATATGTACATCTCCGATAGTCATGCTCTCCCACGGTGCTGTTGGTGACTGCGCAGTGTAGCCACCGAAGGACGTCTTAGAAGAGATTATTCTTGATTTTGTTTCCAAAGGAAGTTCAAAGATCTCTTCTATTGCACCAAACATCGATTTTCGAAGCTGAGAAGGAACTTTGTTGAACAAAGCCTGGAAGCAACCATATTCTTGGAGTGCTTGCTGAACCCGGGCTCTCACGGAGTCCCACTCAGGAGTGCCGGCCTTTAGCTCATCTGAGAAATCTATGACAGGAAGAAGAAGAGATTCAGACCCCATTGCTTATCTTTCTTAATTAGTATGCAATTGTTGATGAGCTTCAAGATGTTGTATAGCAAATTTATATATATAGAATTTCTATCTATGTTGCATGGGAACAAATGATATTTATTATATTGTATTATGCATACAAATATAAAAAAATATTTCTTTTGTTATGCACCGTCATAAGGTACAGAATATCACGTGTATTTCAGAGTAAATTTAAAATACTGAATGCAATGGATTAGGTTCTTCTATAGGTGTGTCGGTCACTCTAAACAATGAATTCGATCAACATCAGAGAAGATTTATTGTGTTTTACTTTGTTTGTATTTAAACATAATATTAATAATTTAAGCTCAAGCAATGCTGAGCATATTTTCTGGTTCAAATGTAGTTGCAGCTTTGAGTACAAAATATATTTTTTTTCCCGGAGAACTGTCGGTACAACAAAATATTTTTTTCCCCATATGGTTACTCAGTTACTCCTATGTTTTTTCGGTACTTTCTAAACTGCTGTCACTTATGGTCTTGTTCTTGCAATAGAATACCATGGATGCAATTATTACTAAGTTAATAATATGCGTAGTATCAAAACATAATCAAACTTCAAAGTTGAGTCCACTATCCTGATTTCTGTGGATGAACGACTCCATGAGATATTTGTTGAACAGTCACATAAGTGTATGATAATAAGCAGAGCATTTACACTTTAGTCATGCAATGAGATCACAGCTATGATTATGTTTATACAAATCACAAAAACATTTACACTTGGATATTTGCCCAATCGGGAGCTAGAAGATGTGGGATAGGAGGATCTCAAAATCCAAAAAGTACTTAAAATGAAGACTTCATTTAGTAATATGGGACATTTGTAATGTTGAACAATGTTGTTTGTTTACTGGTATTTTGAATTATGTTTTTGTTAGTTTGTTTTGCAACTTTAAGATGTTCTATAGCAAATTTATATATATAGCTAGAATTTCTATCTATGTTGCATGGGGACAAATGATATTTATTATATTGTATTCTGCATACAATATGCACCGTCAAAACGTACATGATATCTCGTGCTCCTCGCGAAACAAAGAAAATAATAAAATAGAAAAAGCATTGCATTGGTTCATATATATTATTAATAGACACTTATGGTCTACAACTTGTTTGCTTAAATCATGGTAGTGATCAGAGTAAATTTAAAATGCTGAACGCAATGGATTAGGTGTTCTCCTATAGGTGTGTCGGTCACTCTAAACAATGAATTCGATTAACTTCAGAGAAGATTTATTGTGTTTTACTTTGTTTGTATTTAAATATAATTTTAATAATTTAAGTTTAGGCATTGCTGAGCATATTTTCTGGTTCAAATGTAGTTTCAGCTTTGAGTACAACAAAATATAATTATTTTTCAGAACACTGTCGGTACAACAAAATATTTTTTTCCCAGATAGTTACTCAGTTACTCTTATGTTTTTTCGGTACTTTCTAAAGTGCTTTCACTTATGGTCTTGTTCTTGCAATAGAATACGCAATTATTACTAAGATTAGTAACGTAATCGTTTTTTGATTTTGCAATCTTAAGAAAGCAAAAACATGATTTTGCTTTTTTGAGTGAAAATAAAAAGCAAAAATGATATTTATTAACACTTGTTGCCACAAATTTGACAACATAAAACAATAACGGTGTTTATTAATACATATTTGTTACAAAATGTACATAATATTTTTAAATTTTTTTTTTTTTTATGGCAAGAATTTTAGAAGTTAGTGATTAAAGAAGGAGGGTAGATGACTTGAACACGAACTCTCGGACACAAGGAGCAATCCAACCACTCAAGCACGACACTTGATTCCATTAGTATCAAAAAGCCATAAATCTACAAAATCCAATTTAAATCTACAAATGTACAAATCTTAATAATACCCGATACATCATAAGTACATAATTAGATATACCAAGAAAAAAATACTCCCACCAATTAGTATATAAATACATGTATATGCATGATGTATACATTTATTATGTGATATATAATATATTTAGCATATGATAATTTATTATAAATAAAAAATATTAAATAATATATCTAATATGTAAAAAATATATACTATGTTATAATATTGTAAATTATTTTTAATTTAATATTTACATATCATATAATATAGATATGGTATATAATAATATAAAATATCTACTGCATAATAATTTAATAACATTATAGTCTAAATCAAAAAAATATTTTGTCACAAGAAATAATTTACATTATTATTTAATGTATTATATATTAAAATACATTTTTATCAAATAAAAAATAGTATACAATATTTAATATATTCTATATTAAAAATATATATTTTTATTAACATTTAAAATGCAACTTAGTATATAACACAAATAATATGAATTTTATTTGAAAAGAATAGTGCTTATGTAGTAATAATAGTGAAAACGTTTTTGCGCTACAGTGCCGAAAACATAAGAAACATCTTTTTTTATGTTTCCTCTTTTCTTCACAAAAATTGAAAACGTTTTCTATTATAGAAAACAAAAATATTTTATTAAACGCGATTTTTGTTTTCATTTTGCCTTTTTAGGAGTTGACAACAAAAAATAAGAAACATTTCTCGTTACTAAATGTAGCCTAAGTTAATAGATATACGTAGTATCAAAACATAATCGAACTTCAAAGTTAAGTCCACCACTATCCTGATTTCTGGGGATGAAGACTCCATGAGATATTTGTTGAACAGTCGTATAAGTGTATGATAATAAGCAGAGCATTTACACTTTAGTCATGTAATGAGATCATAGCTATGATTATGTTTATACAAATCACATAAACATTTACACTTGGATATTTGCCCAATAGGAGCTAGAAGAAGTGGGATAGGAGGATCTCATAATCCAAAGAGTACTTAAAATGAAGACTTCATTTAGTAATATGGGACATTTGTAATGTTGAACAATGTTGTATGTTTACTGGTACTTTGAATTATGTTTCTGTTAGTTTGTTTTGCAACTTTTAAAGAACAATAGGTTTGCAACTTAATTGTGATTATGGATTAGGTTGGTATGTTTTTGCAGCCATTAAATGGCTTATTATATTGGCCTTTGTCTTAGATGGAATGAAATAAAGTAACTGCCCTTTTGCATTAGGTTTTCACGAATTATTTGTTTTTCTCCAACCATTAGATGAATGTACTATAGATGAATTATTTTCATTGCAAAATTAAAGCAGGTGAATGAATGAAAAATTGGCTAATTGTTTCCTTGTTTCCATTGTGTTGAACAAAATGATAATTTCATCTTAATAATTCGCTACATGTCACATAAATAAGACATACACTTAACTGTCTCCAAGACACACACTTTAGAGTCTAATATATGCATACTCACATATGTGTTTAGGTGAAGGGCATTGCTATACTTTTAAGTTAATAAGACAAGGGTAGTTTTGTAATTCTGCATTGGTCAATGGTTGAAAATGTAATTTCAGGTATTGGGAAGGGCAAAATTGACCTTGCGCTAATTTTTTTCTACTGACAATATCACTATGTGTTAGTTGCTTAACTATAGGCTGAAGGAAGGTAGGTGAAAGATTGAAACGTAGAAGGAGTGTAAGTGAAATGTAGGCAAAAATGAATAGGTATAGGTGAAATTTATCCTATATTTTATTATTTCATTGAAACAAGTAAAAATAAAAGTGTTCTCGAGTGCTTCATAGTGATCTACAAATCGCCTCCACGGAGAAGACAGGTCTTTCAGGTAGGCTAAGAATTACAATTTCACTTTTGAGCATAACAACAACGTATGACATGGATGGATTTCAAAATTTGAGTGTAAATTTAGAATCAACATGAGACCTCCACCTCTTCCTCCTCCACTACCACCTCTTCTGATTCAACAGCAACATAACCACCACCAGCAGCATCATCCACTCAAAGTTAAACACATCCCTACCAAACCAAAACATCAACTTATCCACTCAAACAATACACAGCAACACCATCGACAAAACACCCTCTTTAAGCAGAAGTAACAATCTACCTCCCCTCATCAGATTCCTCAACATTATAGACCACCCTCTATCACGAATCCCATCCTTAACCACCTTAAACCCCCATTTACCCCCACTCACATTCCACTGTAGAAAGTCACATCTAAACCTGCATTACAAAAACACACCTCAAAACCATCAACCACAGCCCTTCTCACACATGTTTACCCCCTCTACTCCCCCCATTCCTCAATGGACAATCTTTCCCCTCACCCTCTATCAAACTAATATAATTACATAACAATACCAAACCCACTATAAACATCACAAAGAAGCAGCCAACACTACTACAAGGGACAAATCATCAAAGCAAGAGGCCTTCTCACACCACACTAATCAAGAGGCCTTCACCAACCACTCTAGCCAATAAAACATCCTCCACTCCACCAGCACCTGCACCACATTATCCAAAGAATTTCAACCCCTTTTTGTATAATTCCCATGGACTTCAAATCGAACGTCTCACAGAACAACTTTAATGGAAGGATGAGAACCTTGGGAAGGCATTGGACATGTTCAAGGAAAGGAATATGATCATCTTAGAGTTAATGAAAGAGCTTGCTCAGCTTAAGTCTCAACTCCCAACCAACAGCATTCATGGACAACCAGCAATTGCAGCCACCACCAATACAACCACAACCACCACTAGTCCAGCTGCTCACAAGACTCAGGCGGGATCAGGTTCAAGTTTAAATTTGAATTTGAATAATGTTTCAGTGGTCAACCATGCTTTGCAGGTACTTCCTTACATAGCTGACACATCAAACGTATACCAAAACAAAAGCACATCAACTACCCCAGTTACCCCAACCACCTATGACACATCAGACACATGCCAAAACAAAAACACACCCCCTCTTATAACCTCCAGTTATTAGCCTAATTCCCCAACCATTGCTAATCCATTACCCCTATCAAACCTTGTACATCACATCACAAACGCCCTCCCAAATCAAGCACCACCACAAACTTCTACACACCAAACAATGAAATGGTCTGAGGTAGTCAACAAAAGGCAACAAGAGCAAGATGGTTTATAACTATTTTCCCCCACCACCAGGATCTTCAAACCTTATCAAACCACTAAAGGAAATAGCTGAAGAAGGGTTTCAGTTCT